AACCTCTGAATTCACTAGTTGAATACTTTATTAATATGTATATATATATATATATATATATATATATATATATATACATATATATATATATATATATATATATATATATATATATATATACATATATATATATATACATATATATATATATATATATATATATATATATATATATATATATATATATTAAATACCCTGTATAATACAAAATAACTTATATTCTTTCAAGGAAAAGATAAAATTGATTTTAAATTTAAACGAAAATGTAGGTTGTTTTATTAAAAAAAAAACATTTTATGCAGTACAATGTTATGAAAGAGCCTGTATATTTATAATTAACTTTAAAATGTGAAACCTACAGCTACCTTCTGTTTTTGTAAAACACTTTTTGTTGTACCTCCTATAATAACAGATATAACAAACTTTGTCACAAAAGTTAACCTCCCTGTATAATAAATGAAGTAAAGAGTTTCTTTAGATTCTTACTAGATCTTGTCACAGGTGGGGTTTGAAGAAAATATTTTTAACGTTATCCGTAGTTTGTATTTTAATAATTTTTGATAATGTCAAACGTTTTTGTATATTCTAGAGTTATTTAAAGAATAGGTTGTCATAAATATGTGTTTGTTTGAGATCCAGTAAACGATTTAGTATTACATTTTAAAAATTTTATCATAACAAAATAATTAAATATTATCTTATATATAGGAGATGAGTCGACACTCACAATAATAAGTAGTTTTTTATTGATAGCTTAATTTTTTGGCTACCGGTTTCAAAACTTTCAATAAATGCCCCATCATCAAGTTACAGTACATGAGTCTTTGTTCTAACAAAAACTACAAGTTAAAAACAAAATTAAACAAACAACGCTAAATTAAAACAAGAGTTAAAATTAAAACTAAAATAAGCCAACAACTACAACATTTAAGTACGAGAATTAAAACGGTGTATCATATTAATTAAACGCGAATTCTATCGTTAATTAAGTGAGAGACTTGACACAAAATAAAATTGTTACATCAGTGGCATTGGTTAAAACAAGTTTGATAGAAATTTACACACTAAAGTCAGTCATAAATTAATTAACTGAATTTTAGATAAATCTATTATACGGAAGAGTTACGACTTACATATCAAACACAAGAAGACTCTTCTATTATAAATAATTTCGAAGGTTACCACCATTCTCAAGGAACCCATTTACTCAAATATGGGAATATCCATGTCTATATTGTATGTGACTATACCATACAGTTATTTATATGTAGTAGGAAGTTTTCCTACACTATTATATTCAAGATTTATTTCAAGAAATTTATTATTTAGTTATGGTGGCCTTTGTCAGTATTGTAATTGTTGGCTTATTTTACTTTTAATTGAAACTATTGTTTTCATTTAGTTATTCATATCTTGTTTCAAGTTGATTTGATCTTATACTTGTTATTAAAATAAAGACTTGTGTACTGTGAAACGACGATGGGACATATATTATAAGCTTCGAAACCAGTAGCCAAAAATAAATGAACAATAGAAAACAATACTTAAGATTATGAGTATTGACTCATCTCCTATACATTAGTATTATGTGCTCATATTGACAACATCTTCATCATTTCAAATATTATCATTGTTTCTTTGGAACTCTACCAAATATAAATATTTTCTTTACAATTACGATATAGTGTTTTTCAGGAAAATTTGCACAAAACCTAAGATTTTACGAAATGAAAATAATTGTAACGTTTTTTGTTTAAATAAAATAAATCTCGGATTAGAGACATATTTTAGGGCACACTTTTTTTTAAGATTCTATTAACGATTAAAACACGAACTATGAAAAGCATTAACTTTTAAAACTATAAATGGTATATACAAATGAATGAATTAAGATAAAAATTTAGAAATTAAAATTTGATTTTAAGCTGTTGGATTATGTAGGATTTAAGTTATTCTGAATGAAAAGTTTCTATTCACTAGCCAAAATGACTTGGTAATATTAGTAGTCTAATATATTTCTGAGGATAGAAAACGTTTTTAAGCCAAGGTATTTGTAAGGTCTACTTAACGTTTGAATCCCTTTCTATAGTTGTTTTTGTTGTTCAAAGGTAAAGAAAGAAAATTCATACGAATGCGTTGTATTAAATAAGTGCTGAAACATTAGGAGATAAGATCATTTTAAATGTTAAATACCTCGACCCAACGAAATGTCTACTCTTTTTTGTACACTAAAATGATTTTATATATGGGAACAAGAGGCTTAGAAGAACTCATTAACGGTTAATTTAAATTTGGTACAGACAAGTTCATTAACGCTTAAATTATTAATAAACTTAAAAAAGTCTATTTTTAATACAATAGAAATATAACAAAGCGGAGAAGTTTATGGTTGCAATACTTAAGCTTAACCTTAAAACCAAATATTAACCAGTAGCAAATTTCGTATCTAAATCCATCCCATTGTATATAGCCATCTTTCTTACTACACACTGACTAATGTCTATCACACTTTTGCCAAATTTTGTTAGATTTTTCTATGGTAATCCGAAACTATAGGCGTTTACAAAAAGTAATGTAATTTTTTATCTACTCTAAATTGATTCTAGAAACTACTAACTATAGTTCTATTCTATATCGGTTATCACAATGGTTTAAAATTGTTATACACTATAATAATAAAAGTACCGTTTGTTTGACGATACATACGCTATAACATAAGTAAAAATAACTACACTGGTGCCGTAAGACTAAAAATTTTGTTCCAGATAAGTATGCAAATATTTATTTATTTAGATTAGATAACAATAAATATCTCCTGTATATCTAGTAGCAAAAACCATTTCAATCAAACTTTGAATTCAAAAAAGTGCGGGCCGAAATACCAAAAAAAAAACTTATCAATTCCCATAAATTCCCACTAAAAAACATATATGATAGAATTATGTGCTTTTCCACTGGGGCTGGTTATCACCAACTCAGGGGTGAAAAAAATTTATCAAAAAAAAAAACACCGGAGTCGCTACAATAGTTCATTTTAAGACAAAAAGATTTTTGTAAAAGTCAGTATTTTTGGAGTCATGTCAATTATACACGTCAAAAAAACATGTTTTAAACATATAATGTTGAATAACTAGAAATTGGTAAGTTTTTCGGCAAACACTTATGAAAACTTTTTTAAAAACCCAAAACAAATTTTTAAAATGACTATTATTAATTTTTTTTGCATTAAAATTAAGCAAAGTTATAACTAAATTCAATAGCGCTTAATATTTTTTTTTGTGGCGTAAAAAATATCGAACTCTCCTTCGCCAAAACCACCATGATTGAAACGATTCATTGTTGATTATTTACAATTATTTATTTAATTTATATACAGACATTATATTTTGTAAAAGTATTTTGGTTTAGAAGGTTTAGTTTTCAAAAAGTCTGAGTGTAGAGTTAAGGCATTATTTTCGAAATTTCTCAAAAAATCCACTGTTTTCAAAATAACTCAAAAACTAAAACAGATACAGAGAAAAATGTTACAATAGAAATACCAGATTTTTTTAATAAATATTTTGATTTTTTCTTATTTCTACGATAGATGTATGATTGTTTAAAGATTGTACACGAATGCGTTTAGTAAAAATATCTCGTCTAATTTATGGTCTATACAAATAAAAATAAATCAAAATCTTCAGGAAAATAAAATTGTTCTTTAATACTCTTTTAGCACTTTTTCTGTATGTATGTTTTAGTTATTAAGATAGATTAAAAAAACGGTGATATTTTAATAAATTCTAAATATAGTGATAGAGTTTATAAAAAAAGTAAAATTTTAAATGAGCAATAAATAGTTTCAAGCATGGTGGTTATGGCCGAGATGAGTTTGATACTCTCTGAGTCACAAATCATAAGCGGATTTTATTTATAACTTAGCTTAACTTTCATGCAAACTTTACCAGTAGTCACTTGAAAGGTTCTTTTAAGGTAAATAAAAAAGTTTTAATAAGTTTCTCATAAAACACTTACCGTTTTCCGGCTAGTCAACACCATATATTTGGATTTTTGTATTCGATGAATAAAATTCTACTTTAAGACAACCCTAACTTTGTTAATATTAAGAGAGAGAACCATGGAAAGTAGACTATTCTTAATCATGACTATAATTAATATGACGTCCCTCAGAAATTGAAGATAAAGATTTATATATTAGAAGCGGTATTGGTTTGCTTTCTTTCTTATATTATTATATTCTCATTCATACGAAGAGGATTTCAAAAACTACAGACCTATAAGTCTACTACCGATATTATACAAGATATTCACAAAGATAATCAACAACAGATTACCAAATGCATTAGATGTTACATAGCCAAGAGAATAAGCTGACAGGAGTAAAGCTAAAGAATATGAAAAACTGATAGCACTAACCTTCATAGATTACCGTAAACCGTATATAAAAACTTGAGTAAATATATACAGACAAGCAAAAGCTAAGGTAAAAATTAATGAAAACACTCAAAAATTTCCCACTACTAGAGGCTTCCGACAAGGAGATGCAATATCACCAAAGCTCTTCACTGCAACTATCGAAAAATGTATTTAGCAAAATGAACTGGCAGAACAAAGGAATATCAATTGATGGAGAATACCTCATTTATCTTAAACTTGCGGACGACATCGTTCTGATTGCTAATAATGCTGCAGAACTATAAGGACTTATAAGCGACCTCTATGTAGCTAGCAATAAAGTTGGCCTAAAAATGAACTTGACAAAACAAAATCATGTACAACGAGCTAGTGGATGTCGAAAATATAATAATCGACCACAATGCGCTTCAGACAGCAAACAATTAATGGGACAATTAATACATAAATCTGGCTCCTTACTTCCAGAAATCATCAGACGAATGAATCTGGCTTGGGCATCTTTTGGTAGAAATGCAATTATATTCAAATCTAAGATGCCGCTTCACCTGAAGAAAAAAGCATTTGATCAATGTATACAACCAATTATGACATACGACTGCGAAACGTGGATACTAAAGAAAGAGATAATATCGAAACTCAAAGTCATTTTAAGGTCAATAGAGCGATGCATGCTAGGTATACAAGGGAGAGATCGAAATATAATACTAATGTAATAATAATATAATAATAATAATAAAGGATCAGACAGAAAACCAAGGTTCCTGATGTATTCCACAGAGTAAAATCTTTAAAATGGCAGTAGGAAGGACATTTAGCGAGAAGTACTGACAATAGGTGATTTACTAAAATTACACTGTGGTATGTAAGTGGCGTCAAGAGACCAAGAAGACGTCCAAATTTAATATGGGGCTATGATACAAGGAAACAAGCCGGTAGAACATATCACAGAAAAGCGATATTGACATTGACATTGACATTGGCATTGACATTGACATTGACATTGACATTGACATTGACATTGGCATTTGCATTGACGTTGGCATTAACACTGTCATTGATTTTAACAGCTAAGAAAATGTCCAAACAAAGGATATTATTTCTAATTTCTTAATTTTTTAATTCTAATGAAATAGATCCAGAACACAGTTTAACGAGAAAGGTTCTTAATTAAATTCGAGACAAGCATATAAACCAAAACTATGGAAGTATTAAGGACGCAATATTTCTAAACAATTACCTATACGTAATAAATGCGTGTTAAACCACATAAATGAAAGTCTAGCTCGACCAACTGTTCAAAGAATCTCTGAATTCGTAAAACTCGATAAAATTCGATGGGCTGGTCATGTAGTGAAAATGGAAACCAAAAGATTGCCGAAAAGAGCCCTAGATAGTAAAATACAGAGAGCAAGACCAAAAATACTTGCACGGAAAAAGTGAGAGGTTAAAGTGGTAGTGGACACGCAAAACTTGCTAGACGGGAGAACCTGGAGAAGATCGGCGTGGGACCAGCAAGATTGTAGGCATAGTTTGAAGAAGGCCAAGGTTTCATTTGGGCTGTAGCGTCATTGGATAAAAAAGAAATAAGTCCAGACTAAAATAATATTCGAACATATATATCAAAAAGTACAAAGTAAAGTAATATATGTTTAAAATATCGTCGATTATATAAAGTTATAATTTTTGATTTAGCCAAAAAAAGAACTTATAAAAATATGATTTCTTCTGAAAATTTGTAAGATCTAGAAGTTGTTTCAAACCTTTTTATAAAAACAACATATAAGTTAAACGAAAAATAAATTATACTTGTATCAAATAAATAATTAAAAAATTTTGCATTTAGTATTACGGCACAACCTATTCTAATTTGTTATTTCTGTTCTACTGTCGCCTACGTTCTAACTCTATGTTATAACACATAATTATTATAAAATAATTCTATTCTGGTTATATCACATGACTGCTATTTGTCACATTTCTAAATTAGTAGATTACTCGCCCCTTGTTAGAATTGGTGTACAGTTCCAATATGGCGTCCTTTTCTGCACCTCACACACTGTTTCAACACTTGATAGTAAACTATCATCGTTTTGACTTCGGCTTTTTATACAATACCGTACTTAATTTCGTAAAACGATAAAACTATTCGTTTTAATTGTTTTTAAGTACGATAGTATATATTTATCTGCAAAAAATTACACCTGGATCTACTAGTCAAAATGTTATAAGGATGTGGATAAAGGTGTTGGTTTAAAAATTATTGTATTTATTGCGACGTTTTGTTAATTTTTATTTTGAAATAAAAAGAGCATTACTAAATAAATAATGAAAGCTACTAACAATAAATTAATAAATGCCCGATAGTCTATAACTAGGTTATTCGAAAACTTTCAAAGAACTTTTTATACAGTGTAAGTCAAAAGTCCCCCCGCCTTGTACCTATATTTTAAAGAGTTATTCTTATAATGTTGATAATTGGTGGGAAAAAATAAATGAATCTAGGCTTCTCAACCAGTTATAGCAGGTGATATAATAGTGATAAACGAAGTTACAGAGTTACTTATGGCAAGTGTAATCTCGTTTGAAAGATAGTCAACTATTCAATGATAATAATTTTGTTTGAGTTTAAGCTAATTGTTATGAATAAACTAAATAAATACCAAAATTATAGTTTCGCATTTAATTAATAAAGATTCCAACTCTTTTTAACTCTGACTCTCCTGGTTATTTGTCCAAAAAGTACGTTCTTGGAGTTTTTGATTGGCAACAGGTGTATGTTTTCAAAAACTTGATAGTGTGTGATATTTTTATTAAAATCAGTTAAATACTTCTGCACGTCAATTGCTATCTTCGCAACATTCTATAAAGAACAATAATTTAAGAGTAATTATTATATTAATTACAAATAAAATCAATTTAATCTTTGTAATTAATATAAAAAATACCCTTGACGTATTGTCCTTTATAGAAAGCTCTGAAGCTGGCATGTGATAGGCTGAAACTAATTAGTTGATTTTAATAAAAAAATTACACACTATCAAATTTTTAAAAACAAAAACGCGTACAAGTCGTACAGTCCTTTTACAAAAAGTGTTTATACCTTAAATATGGGTAAATTTTAATTATTTTTTAGAGCGACGTTTCAATATTTACCTAGACAGAATGGTACGTACTGTAGCTGAAAATGTAGCAGCTTTCTTAATTTTTGGTGAATGTTGAAATAATTTTCATGCAGTGGAACGTCTTTTTAATGCGAGGTACCCTGATCAAGGAGTTTGAAGAAACAGGTAGTGTTCAAGATGCCAAACGATCTGCCCAACCAACAATTAGTGACGACAAAAAAATTTGGGTGAATTCGGCAACTTCGAAATAATGTTTTAACAACATGGTATTCCTGTACAATATTATGGTGCAGTAAAACCTAGATTAGGAATATCGTGGTAGATGCATTGGACAACGCGGTTCGACAGAATAGCCAGCTCGATGACCGGATCTCATAACATTATTTTTTTATGAGGGTACTTAAACCCTAAGTTTTACTCTACAGTATCTGATGGTATTGACATAAAAGAACAAATTGTTGAAGAATGTAAAACAATTGCCCTCAGCACATTTGAACAATTACAACAAGAGTTTAGCAATATAATGCATTACTGTCAAGAAGTAGATGGAGCAAATTTTGATCAATTAAGGTAATAAGTAATTCTCAAATAGTACTTAATTAAATGCGAAACTTCAATTTTAGTATTTATTTAGTTTATTCATCAAACTCAGCTTCAATGCAACCAAAAAAAGTAAACGAGATATCACGTCTCATAAGATTCCATTTAAAATAATCAGTCACAATGGCTCTGTAATGTCATCTATCACTATTACGTCACCTATTATGACTAGTTAAGAAGCCTAAGTTTGTTTATTTTCCCCCTCCACATTTTATTATTATAAGTATAGCCGTTTAAAAGATACGAGGGAGGAGGGCACTTTTGGCAAGCAAGTAAAGATAAACTAAAAATTGTACAGCATATGTAAAATGTTTTAAAAAATCCACGGAATGGTTCACGTGATGTTATTATGTTTATTGGAATAATATATATATATATATATATATATATATATATATATATATATATATATACATATATATATATATATATTCATATATATATATATATATATATATATATATATTCATATATATATATATTCATTATTGTCTCGATATCGTCCATAAAGTGAGATCTCTTATCGTGTGGACGCTTTCGAAATATGTTGTCTCAGAATTAGATTTTTAGTATGGATCATCCAACAAGTGATAAGGTCCTAAGAAAATTTAATGGCCACAGACAACTGTTAGATCTTAGAATGTTATTCTTCGTTTGCTCCGATAAGTAACAAACTTTCGCTACGGCTTCATTCTTTTACCATAATCTACAAAATAATACTAATAGGTACTCGTATATTGCATTCCAACAAATATATCATCTAAATGTAATTTTTATGGGAGTTTAAGGTTGAAAAGACTGTGGACAAAAGCAACGTTCATGGTTTAAAGACTTAATAAACTATTGTGACACATCTCATGTCATTGCGATAATAAGAAAAGCTGCAGAAGAATATCTGTTTACTTGATAAACAGTGTAAACAGCTACATGCTGCATAGCATATGTCATCCAACGAAGAAGATAAGCATCTCGCTTCGCCAAACTTAGAGGACTTGGATTTTTTTGAAAAAAAGTGTTCAGATGTTTCTTGGCCGGAAGATATATAATAGAATGTTGGAATGGTTCAGACAATCTTTTTATGGTAGTCCATATAAATTGAATTAATGTCGATATTAAGTATCAACTAAATACATAACCAAATACTTACTGTGACAGAATGGTATCATCGGCTTTTTTGTGGTTTGTTTTCATGATTTGCAAATAACATAAGAAAAGAATTTTATCATTATGATTGGATGTGGTGGTTTTTTTTAGACCAATGGTATGCTATTACAGAATAACGTTTCTCTTCTACTTTAAAATCTTTACGATATATCTGAATTATAATTATAGGTAAGGAAAACACTATTCAATTATTAGAAGATTTTTTTTCTATCTCAAAGTAACAAATAAGTAGGGTAAGGATAGGTATATTGGTGATAAACATGAAAAATACTAATAATATAGGAATTCGAAAACTGAGCAAGGAATAAGTTTTGCCTTATTACGGTACTTATTATTTGAAGTAAATGTTTAGAAGAGTTAATTTAACAAAAAATGATTAATAATGATAGTAAATGCCAAATTGACATACAAACTTATGTTAGGTAAGTTGGTGACACGGTAAAGTATATTGGTGATAGTTGTTAGGAAATTTGGTGATATTATGGAAATTTTATATTTAATCAGAAATTGATAATTTTATTCCATACAACGATCACATCTATAATAAAGTTTTTCATCAGCGTCAGTATCTGCGTTAGATATGCAAATCTTGTGGTATAGGTGTCAAATAAGATGAGCACTAATGCCATTGGGCTCCATTTCTTTTATTAAAATCAGTTGAATACAAGACTCCACATAAGCCACACTCCCAATCATCTATTTTACTTTTGTTTGCTTTTTGGACAGATTTGTCTGTAGTCGAGGGCTATTACTGAAGATTTTTTGTTATTGAAGTGTTTTTATTTATCGGTGTTAAGCATTTCGCACTTTTGTCCCTTTTTCTTGACCCCTCTGGACGTTTTGAAGCTGTTGGTGATTTCAAAATATGATCGACTGTGGCTTTAGGATTTAAAATAAAAGTTTCTGCTGTTGCGTCAGTTAAAACTGGAGAAGCAGGAGCTATCAGTTAAAGATAAATGCCGTAATACTTCCTTTGGAATAACATCTCCGTTTAAAGGACATATGCCTGTTTTTTTAAAAGCATTCTCAATGTTTTTCTTGTAAATTCTTACAATTCTTACAATACAATTCTTTGTAAAG